TTTTTATTTATTAATAACTATTATTTATAATTAAATCTTAATAATTTTTTATTTTATAATAATTAATGTTTATTTATAACTAATAATAATAATTAATATTAAAAAGAGGTATAATTGGAAGGAAAAAAAAGTGACAAAAAACTTCTCATAAGCTACTACAAGCAATTTATTGCAAAACTAATTTATAAGCTAAGTTATGTACATTCAAACATGTACCAAAAAGTAGGTTAGCTTATAAGTTAACTTATATTTGTCAAACAATGTAAAAAGATGGTATTGTGTGAGAGTGAGAGGGAGCGAATGCCTCCTCGGTTACTTTGTGGCTACGCCATTGGTTATATAGGGGCCAAATCAGATGAAAACCATAAAAAATATTATAAATTTGTGAAAATCAAGTTCAACATATTTTTATATGATTTAATATATTGTTTCACGTATATTTGTTTCATATAGTAATAGTTTCACATTTATTTGTTCGGAAAAGTACAATAAAAACCAATGGACTTTCTTGTTTGGAATGATTAAGTCCTTAGACTTTTTTTTGTAACAAATAAGTCCTTGTACATTCCAAAACATGTTAAATAAGTCCTTATCGATTTTATAATACGTCTTTGTATGATTTTGAGATAATGATAATATTTTTTATATTTGAATAAAATACAAATTTGAAAATAGTATATCGATATTACTAGCTCATTAACAATTTAAAGTTCTCTTTTTTTTCTAATTTTTTAGTTCACTTTTTTATTATAATTTAATTTAGATATAATAACGAAGTAATATATTTAATAACGTAACTTTTTTTATAAAGATTATTTTTAGTTCAATTTTTTTATTTTAAATTAATTTAGGTTTAATTATAAAGTAATTTATTTTAGGTTTAATAATATAATATTTATATAAAGATAATAATTAGTTATACTAATTATATTTTTTATATTTTATATTTAAAATGAGATGTTTATCTGTAGTTAGTTATACGAATTCGAACATAGAGCTTGAATAAGTTGTATTTTTGTTTAGTCAATTTGTAATATTGAATTTCAAGTAGTATGTATTAATAACCGGTTGTTTGATATATAAAAAAATAGGCTTTTAAAAATTTATCGTAAATGCTTTATAATATAGTATTGATAAAGAAACATTTATTATTAAAATAAAACAATATAGTAAAAATAAATTAAAAAAATAGATTTTAATTTAAAATATTTGACGTCCATATCCTCATAAATATAAGACTCGAATTAAAAATGTACCAACAACGTCAAAAGGATGATCGTTAAGATAGTATCCCCACATAATATGAGACAAAAAAATAACATAAATTATACAAGTACTTTGATTTTGATTGAAAGCTAGATATCCATGTTTTTATGTATTATCATTATTTCCTTTAAATTAATATGTCCCTTTCAGTAATATAATTATAGATTTTTTAAAACTGTAACTCAAACTAATCAAACACCACTCTTGCGGTTGATGTACACGTATTTTTAACTTTGTTAAATCATATTTGAAGTTATAACAAATAATTCTTTACATTTTGTGAAGGATTTTAGGGTAATTTTTCGTTCTAACAAAATCCTCTAAAATAGATAACATATGAAAGAAAATCGAAATTTTCTAATTTGAAAAAGTCCCTCAAATTGATTATAAATTATACTTTATTTTTTTCAATAAAAGCTTTTAAAATTAAATGTTTGTGAGATATAAATAATGGTTTATTAAATGTAATACTGAATATTTTTAATGTGAATATTATATTCTCTAAATAAAAAAATTGTTGAAGTTTAATTTAATTTATTTTAGGAACATTAAAAAAAACATAATGAACTTTCACAATTTGAATGATTAAGTTTTTTAAAGTTTTTTTTTTTAAATGAATACATGGTTTAACTTTCTCATTATAAATTATTAAGCCTGAATATTTTTTTTAAATAAAAAACCATCAAAATTTTAGATTATGATTACATACGTTCTTTTGATCCAAAAAAAAAAATTCATTGTAACCAGTTAGGAAAAAATAAAAATAAGAAAGCATAAATCAACTTTATCGTTACTAAAACCCTACGTGATTTAAATCACATGTATATCGGCATCCACTTTGTCAAATATGTGAAAGTAGCATAAATGACCAATATACAATGGTGCATTTAAGAAAATGATCAACTTTTGGAGTATTTGTACAAATGACCAATACTTTCGCTAAAGTGTTCCTTCAATACTCGCGAATTTGGTGTGGGACTCACATATGAAAAGTCATATGATCATCTTTTTCTCCGACTAATCGGAAGCCAATATGTGTTCGTCGTGGGACCCACTCTGAAACTCTGACTCACGTATTTCACCAACCAATATATTTGAGATACGTTTTCGTCAATACAGATTTTCGCCATTGGCGAATCTATTTTAATTTTCAAAGAAACAAGCTCCGGTTTGTTTTTATGGGGGACCATCTCATTTTAACTACTCCCCAACTAAAAAATTACTAGCCATTTACTATTGCAACTAGAAATTTATACCAAGAAAGCTCTGAACACCGCCATCCACCTTGTGCTCAACCATTTTTCCGTCGTCCACCGTCATTTCCCCAACGTTGAAGGAATGCATGAAGAATACCTACTTATGACATGTGGGTCAAACTTCAACATTTAGCCAACATTGAAGAACACTTTAGCAAATGTAAAGGTCATTTATGCAAATGCTCCAAAAATTGGTCATTTCCTTAAATACGCCATTGTATTTTGTTCATGTGTGGTATTTCCCCTTGTTATCATTGGGGATGCTACTACACTTTGACACACCTCTAGTAACCTTGTTATCATTGGGGATGCTACTACACTTATTGTGACACACCTTTATTACTAGGGGTGCTCATGGATCAGTAGATCAGACTGAAGACATTTGAATAATCCAACCAATGTTTATTGTTAGAAAAATCTCAACTCAAATCAAACCGTACGAGTTGGTCGGGTAATTGGTCCCACGACCATAATGAAAGCAAAACGACAATATCCTAGAAGTAGGTGGTTGGCGTTTGGATTCGAGCTCTAGATCTCACTTATGGATTCCCGTCTATTCACTAGTGCCGTTATTTATTTATTAAAATTGTCAAAACATCGTTTTAGGTATGTTTACGTAAAGCAAGCAACGTAAGCATAGAACATACTCTATTTCTCAAAGAAGATACGACTAGATGAAACCAAATACAAAATAAAATGGACAAACTTAGAAATGTTGTAATTTTCTCTCACAACCAACCATTCATACATGTCACATTACAACACATTCTACAGCAAACACTGATCATTATTAGCCCTTTCTTATTCCAACTATAGTAATAGCTAGCTAGTAACAAATAGTACATTACAATCAAACACAAGACAGTTAATTGAATGATTGACACGCCATCTGTATTGATGATTTGAACCCAACCCAAACCCGGAAACGAGTAATTTTCTAACAAATTCAACAAGAGAATTCTCTTTCTTTACGTATCTCAACCAGACCATGTGCAGGTGTCTCTAGAAATTATGCCTGTAGATACCCTTTCGCTTCCAAATAAGAAATCACTTTGTCTGCCATAGCATCCGGTGGAGGACAATCCTCTCCTTCCTGATGCAACACAATCTGCACAAACAAAGTTCACATACATTAAACCATCCGTAACATTTGGTAGTCTGCTTCTTCCATATTTATTTAGTTGAAATTTTCACAAATATGTTTGAAAATGAAAGACATGTGGAGGCATGCCACAAGGAGATTTTGGCATGATCAAATACTGTGCAGGATCTCTAAAATGGAATGATTTTAGGACCAAAACTGAACCTTGAAGGCAGCTTGCCATGTCGCATTTACTTAGTTTTGGAAGGGACTGCAATCATGTAGTCCTTCTGTCCCAATAACTCATAACACTACTCGTTACCTAACAAAAAATCTTCCCTTTTTTAGCAAGTTTCCAACCCCAAAACACCTATTTGTGATATTTATTTTGGCCCATGTAGTCTTATCAAGTCAAATTCAGGTTAATCATGTATTGAAACGTAAAAAGTTAGTTTTGATATCGACGTGTGGGAGGAGGAAATTACTAGGTAGAGTGCATTTAGCAATATATAGAGGTGCATTTAGCCCACTGTTTCTAGATGGGGGCCTTTCTAGATGAGGGGAGTAATCGAGTATAGCAGTGAAGATGGGTGTACCTCAGAATTTAGTGGAGCCTCGTATGGGTCATCAATCCCGGTGAAACCTGTGAAATGATAATGTACAGTTTAAACCATGAATTGGAATCAATAAGTGACAAAACCCAAGGTAGAAGAAGAAAAGAACACCCAATCAACAATGAAATATCAGATTCCTATAATCTTGGCCACCATCTTACATATTTATATAGAAAATACAAAAGGTTAGTTTTGGAATAAAAATATGGGCAATGCCTCATAAATGAATGCAGGGAACCAAGTTATCAGATAAGTGTTATGAAAGAACATGCCTTGATGCTGGACCATACATCAACAGGTCCATAATGGGGTCAAAGCCAGTCATTCATAATTCATATATGTAGTATTTGTTAGGCACATCCTAAATTTACCTTTAATCTTTCCGGCCCGTGCAAGCTTGTATAAGCCTTTTGGATCCCTGGCCTCACATACACATAGAGGCACATCCATAAATACCTGTCAATTACATGTCTTCTGAGCCATAGTAGCAGATTCTACTAAAGCAGGATAAGTATAAAACCAACCTCGATAAAATCCCCATCTGGAAGTATGGATCGACAAGCATCACGGTCTTCTCTGTAGGGAGATATCGCGCTAGCTATGCAAATAAGTCCAGCATCAGCAAACAACTTAGCGACCTCTCCTAAGAAATCATAATATCAACATTAGGGCTTAGGGTAAATTAAGATGAAAAACCAATAAAATTTATCAAATGATAAGAAAATGGAACCCCACCAATTCTTCTTATATTCTCAGCACGATCTTCTGCCTTAAAAGTAAGGTCACAGTTAAGACCATGCCTTACATTATCACCATCAAGAATGTATGTCAGCTTTCCTCGAGCATGGAGTGCTTGAGTTAATGCACAAGCCACGGTGCTTTTTCCTGAAGTAATCATCGAGTTAAACATTTTAGTAGTCCCTATACATATGTAATCAGAAATTCATCAAAACAGAACATGAAAGAAAAACTGCAGTACATGATACATAGATAGAACAGATATTTATCTGAATTGACATCGAAGATCGATTCTACCAGCTTTATCTCCATCCAGAAATAAAAAGACCACCAAGCTAACATATAGTTTAATTAACATTATGCTAACTTAGTTTACTTTCTCCGATCAAACTCGATTAATCTATGCTAAGAAATATCAATATGAAGATCATTTAACAAAGACGATCAGTCACTGTAATTAAATAAAAACACTTGGGAGGCAAGGAGATTTCCTGAGGAACATAATCCTCTGATCCCTAATGATAATTGAGCAAAAAATGAAAAGATATTACTGTGAACTAACCTGAACCACTTAAGCCAGTAATCCAAATAACACAACCTTTTTGCTGAAGCAACTCTTGCCTGTCAATTTTCTCCACAGAACATTTATGCCACATAATATTTGTGGATCTCCTTCCATTCGTCGAGGTTTCATGAAGAATCGAACCTACACGATTCCGATTGTAAAAATTGCGGAATGCTCAAAAAATCAAAGGATGCAGGTTTCAACTATAAGGGTTTTTACCATCGGAATCATTCGTAACTGCACGTCCATTCGGCTTGACTTCCACATCGACTTTATATGGCGGCGTTCTCGAAGCCTCCATTGCTTTAATTGGCGCCAAATTCTTCAAAGCTGACGTAATGTTCCGTTGACAACTAACCGACATCTCCCGAAAATTCGCAAACCCTAGCTTCGTCGGTGAGGGGTCAACATGGTCCAATCCCGGGGAAGAAGTAAAAATCAATGAAAATTTTGCCGCTGCCGCCATTATTGGGCGCGAAAGAATGAGAAACTAGAAATCAAATCTGTTTAATTAGGAATGTATATTGGATTAAAGCATATTGTATTTACAATAAAAATTGGAATCAGAATCTAAGAATGGAAAAGGACCGCTCTTATAAAATGTTGCAGGGAAAAATGAGAGGAGAAAATTGTGGTGGATGACAGATGTGTTAGGTATGATTTATATTGACGAAGAAGAAAGATTTTGGGGATTTTGGATCTTCACTGTTCAATCAGACCTCCAAATGGGAGCAGCTCAAAACCTCCACCTTACAACAGTTTCTTCCCCCCTATGGGTAAATACATTAAATAACAATCTAGAATTTTTATATTATAATATTTTTTTTTTTTTTATTATAACAATTTACTTTCAAATTATTTTTTATTAAGATTTTATACTTTAAAAAAATCTACTTATTATAACAATGGGTAATCTGTTATCTTTTAAACCGTTTAATTCTTTAATTTTTTTTATTGTATGGCTTTAATGAGGTGATGTGGATGACACATCATTTTGATTACTTAACTAAAATAAAAATAAAAACACATTTCAAATTATTATTAGTGATTTTCATTTTTCATTGCTATGATTTAAAAAATATTTAATTATTTTGACTTTTTTTATTAACATGCATGCAAATTAAATATTATAGAGTAAAATATTTTTTAAATAAATACAAATTATTTCGAGATATATTTTGTTTGTAAAAAAGGTAACACTTCTTATTTTATGTTATTTAAAAAATACATATTTTTAAAAATTCTCTAAAATGTTAACAAAATAAATTGTGATCTACAATTATTTTAATATTGTT